AAGATCCATGCAAAACTAAGTCATTTGTATTTGTTATCCAACCAAACAAACCTGCATAAAATATTCACAGCACAGATAGACCTGCATAACATTTTCAAACCACAGACAGACCTCCATAATATGCATCCCAAAATCATCCAATCATTGATGACAAAAACAACTTTATAACATCATTTGTATTCTTCAAATTTAAGAACTTCTATTTATAAATGAAACATGAAACATAAAACAATATCATCTAGACATGAAACATAATGTTCTAACATCCAAATGTTCTAACAACTATGTTCAATAACAAAATAAAACTAATAATCTACATAGTCATCATCAGAATGATTTTCATCATCCTGTTGCCATGTAGATGGCTGGACTGGTGTGGGCTGGATTGATGTAAGCTGGACTGATGTGGGCTGTTGAGGGACGGCGGGTGACGATGAGGGTCGTGGCTAGGTCGAAGGGATGGTGGAATGAATGTCTGAAGCATCAGGAAACGCTCTCATGACCAGGGACTTGAAGTTTGTAAACTCGTTTCTCAAGTCACTATATTCTTCTCTCAAATCACGATTTTTCTGGTCACGTTGTTGTAGTAGTTGTGTCAAGCGCTCGATGGCTTTGTCAGTAGTAGTGGTGGAAGAAGAAGGTTGGTGCTTCAGAGTACCTCCTCTTTGAATTTTATTTATCAAAAGGAGGGGTCAGCATGTTTATTTATCAAATCGTTGCATGGCTATTAGCTTTTAGAAAGATCAATCAGGAGCAAAATAAAGCAAGGGAAACAGAATAAGACATCATTTACCTACCTGGAAATGATGAAGTCTTTGACACTTGAGTGCAGCCCTTCAACAATGAGACTTTTGCAACCAACTTTAACCCACTGTGTTCGAAGCTTCCAAATGTTTTGTGTCCCTGATCGAAACCCCAAAACCTTGTACAATAATAAACAATTTTAATTAGCAAAACGCAACAACAACAAAAGATTATTCATCAAACACCCTGTTACCAAGAACAGGGGCTCAACTTAGAAGCATTTGAAAATAAATCTATTGCATCAACTAAAACATAATCTAACTTAAATTGGTTGGGACAAAGTAAAACCAATGATCAATTTCCTCTCCCAATCAGCTCTGTGCCTACTAACGACAATCATCATCATGCATCATATTTAATCCAAAACTGGTCTTATCCATCCACAAGCCTAATTACTCCAAACAGATCACCTCATGCACAACTATACCACCACAATAGATATATATACACCTAATTAACAATGAATCAGGCAGGTGGCATTCAAGAATAAGCAAGAATTCAATGATACTAATGCATTCAGAAACAAAATTTGCAAATTGACTTAACCCAAGATTTGGAAACAGGACTGTAGTAATCAATTTAAAGCTTACAATGAATGTGGGAGCAACTTTCTCTCTTGATTTCACTCCAACTTAAACATTCACAATTTTCAATTCCTTGATAAAGCAAATTCTTAATTCTGCACAAATAACATTCAACAAAATTGTTAGACTAAAAACTGAATTCTATCTCTCAATTTACCAAAGAAAATAGGCCAAGTCAGCCTCATAAAGCTCTCACAATATCAAAACTATTAGAAACAACAATTCAAGTATCTCACACCTACTTAGCTCCCATTTCAAGTCTATCATCATCCAGCAGAATGAGTACAATTGGTGAGTCCAATTTATAGAATGTAGATAAAACATTCACAAACTATATAGTTCTAATGTTTCCAAATTCTGCATGATATTATTATAGGTTAATATGTTTGATACTAAATTTTGTTTACAGTCATTATAGTGTTCTACAAGATTGATTAAGTTATTCTAATTATTATAATGTTGATAACTCAACATGAGAGAAATCTCCACATTATAATCTATCTATAATAGGAACAATCATATGATATAAGTACTCTTGAAACCTGAGTGAACATAATTAAGGCATGGAAAAAAGGAATAGGGCAATATAAGAAAACAACAAGCAATGACCCGAGTAATGCTGTGACGGATGAAATCTGCTAAGCTTTTTTTTTTCACTTTTAGACCTACGTCTACAAGAGTCAGTAAAGTTTCTAAGAACATCATATGAGCAATATATACATGAATGCTTAATGCAATCACAACGCCAACCACAATGCAGTTACACCAATGCCTAATTCATTACTTTATTTAATCTTTGTTTCAGTGAATTTCAAGTTCAGAGCACACCTCTTTCATTTATCATAATCAATTTCAAACCATTCATAATCAAGTTTGTCAAACCTCACACTATACAAAATGATAAAAACTCCAATCAACAGAACCTCAAACTCAAAATGAACATTCACAACATTTTAGAACAACATCAAATTCAGGAAACAAGAATCAAAATAAAATGACAAAGCACATCACATCATGCAAATTCAATTTAGCCTTTATAGCAAAATAAAATGACAGAGCACATCAAATTCACCACGACTTTGCAACACCAACCCATACCTTGGGCTTTGCCTTCCTTGCCTAGTCACGTCTGCTCCCAAGACTCTATTCCAATTCCTTCTCAACCTAACCTTATGTTTTTTGGAATGGAAGTGAATTAAGGGTTTTCATTATACATTTGCACACTATTCATTCACACAGAAGGACCTTACCTCGTCACAGACCCCTACATTAGCCTCACCCTGGATAGTGGAAGCCCTGGTCACGCCGCCAAAACACCGTCGTCACGTCGCCATAGCACCGTCGTCACGCCGACACAATACTGTCATCACACCACGAAAACATCGTCGTCAGGTCGCCACAACACCGTCATCAGGCCGCGACAACAAGCTCGTCAGCAAACACCTTCGAATAGCTCTCTCGCAACAATGTAATCCGTCAACCACCACCCTCTTCACCAACACTATCCTGACGTTGACACAACGATTGCAAAAAAAAAGGAGTTAAGCTTTGGGGTTCTGAACGAGAGAGGAAGATGCGATACTTGGGGGGTTCTAAAGTGAGAGAGGAAGAATTGGGGAAAGCTTGTGCAAAAATAAAAATTAGGAGAATGGGAGAGGGAAATCCCAAATTCTCATTTCATTGAGTTGATGTTTATACCGACAGTCGTAGTCCTTCGATAAATTCAATGCACCATTATCGACAGTCAAAGGCGTTCGATAATCAACCACTTACATGAGCCCCTTTTACTGTAGTGTCCTTTGCTCTTATTTTGGGTGTTTGTTTGTTCTTATTTCTTGTTTTTAGTTCATTTTCTAATTTTTTTGTAAAATTCCTAGATTTTGTAAAAAAGTGTTAATAAGGTGTTTTTAAGTAAAATTTTAGTTTCGCCTTTTAAGTTTTAGATTTCTAGTTATTGTAAGTAGCATAGTTTAATTGTACATTTGTTAAGATTTGATTTTTCACGGGCAACATTGAATTTTGACTTTATACTAACATTTCAACTTTTATTGTTGGTTCTATGAATTAATTCTGGTCATGGTACAATTGACCTGAGAGAAAGGAGTTCTTGTTTTGGGTGCTGTGAAGTGGAGTGAAATTAGGAAAATTTTCCAGTTGTGGCATTTAAAGAAGTCAATCCAGTTGTGTGAATAAGATTGGATGTGACTAATAGAAAAAAATTAAAGCACTAAGATCTGCACTCGCCTGTCATCTCATTGTATTGACTCGAAGATGGACAAAGAGCTAGATCCTTACGCTAACGAAGACAATGCATCATCATTATATTCTTGACTACCCCTTCCCGAAGACTCCTCAAACAAAGACAAGTTAACAATTTCCATTATTACCTAAAGGAAAGAATATCACTCAATAGGCAGAGAAGGTTGAAGAGAATGGTGAAAATGACATGGAAGGCCCACTCCTATTTATAGCCAACCACCCTTCTGCCCTTGAGTGATATCAACCGTTAGATCCTGCAATATTTCACGACCTAGATCACGGGACCTTGCGCATTTTACCAAGCACAAATTGCAAAGTGTTTCGCGCCTCTTTTCCAATGATCATTTTATACAATAGGATGAACGACCTCGAACACCACTAATACACCTAGACCAAACAGTTGTAGTCGCATCTCACTAACCTCTTTGTTAGTTATTCCAAGCCCAGGCTTAGGGGATCGATGTATCGTATGACCTTTCGATCAGTAGTTGACTAAGCAGTCAACTTCCTCATTCTCTTAGTTAGCTCTTAGAAATCGGACGACGCTTACTAGAGAGTTAGTGACCGATCAGTAAGGCACCGAATGATTGTTCAGGGTTGCAAATTAAGCACATTTATAGGTAAAGTATGTTTATCAACTATTGAGTCGTGATAAACTGATGTTAATTGAAAGTCCATTCTTAAACTTATAAATATAGGTTTAAGATAAAGAGGTATGTGATCGCATTTATTGCATTATTGAGAATTAACTCTAATCACAAAACGGTCATCTACTAACTTAAACATCAGAGTACCTTTTGTAGGTAACCCCGTATGGTATAAGGAGTACTTTGGGTTGTTGAAAAAACTTAGAGATTGTTTAGAGTTTGATACTAAAGATGATTGATCTTAACCTCACTACCGAAACAGTAAAAATAATTTCTTTTTTATAAATCTTATATATCTACCTTATCTCGTTTGGATATTATTCTAATGAATTAGTTATCTTCCTAAACTTCCAATCATAATTTCATATTAAAAACATAAAAAAAATTTGTATATCAGTATATAAAAATATATAAAAGAGATTATACTACATATTTCATATTTCTATTTCACTATATTATATTTTAAAATTAAAATATATATATATTATTTCAAATTACTTTAATTATATTTTAAAATTAAAAATTGTATTTAAAACATAAAAATAAATTAATGTTATT